CGTCACGAAAAAGGTCCCTTCTGAATCTATTTTAAATCCATTTTACAATCCGTTTCGGTAAAAAGAATCCTTTATTCTGTCCGTACATACATACATCACGCCAAAAAAAAAAAAAAAAAAAAAAAAAAAGTTCAAATGGATTCGAGAGCGATCAGAATGGATATTTCCGTTAAAATCTGATAATCAAAATTTTTCGCGATTACAAAACAAAGAGACTGAAAGTTAAAAATTTTTTATCCGGTGCATCTAAATCAACACGTCATTAATAAACATATAATAAAAAGTAATACTTACTGTTGATTCCACTGAACGTCTCTTCTTGGAGTTGCACACTTGCATTTGGGTTTAGATATGCAGATCCATCCATCAGGGTCGTATAATATTCGGTGGTTGAATTATCATGGTGTTTAAAGAATAACACGTGTAACAGATGAGATGATTCATTACGTGACGATTGATTGTGAGGCGGATCTACAGGTATTGCTTTCGAAAAATACGGCCTTAAAGCCAAAATAATACCATAAGTTATTCCTCCAATTACCATAATACCGAAAGGTATACATGTTCTTAACATGATGTAATATTAAAAGATACTTAACTTGAGTTGCAAGTGATAATATTAAAAAATATCCTAAATCAAACTGTCTGAGATTGTTCGTAGTTCCGTAATATGGGAGTAAAATAATATTACTGAATGATTACATGTAATTCGACTTTTAATGTGATACAAAATACGACTGCATGAACAACACAGTATTCAAAACACGCCTGTTTAAATAATATATGCGCCTAAACAAAAATAGAGTACGTTTTTATTTCGAACTTTAGTTACTAAGCGCACGCTAGAGTCCAGCACACAGACAGACAGACAGAGTACGCGCTGCGACCTTCTAAAGACTAAAGTCACAGCGACGAATAAACAGTTTCCGGTATGTTTTATTCTTTTGCTATAATGCTGGGTTTGATTATTTTTTAATTCAAACTTTTAAAAAAAGGAAAATTGCTGAAAAAAAATGTTTTAGTTTAAAAGACTAAAATTATGACTATCAGGTAAGGTTCGATAACTTTCATTTAAACCGTATTAAAATTTGAGCCTCCCTTTCTAGGCGTCTCGTCATTCCAGTCCTTTCAGTTCCTTGCGGCGTCAATGGCGACCTCCGCGGTGAGCAGAGCGCTTCGGAAAGGGAAATTCCCTTTTCTCTCTCTCTCTCTCTTTCTCTCTTTCGTTGCAAAAATACTGTAGTTCTCGATTAAAACGTTAAACGATACACCGCGATTTCGGATATTACGCTGGCGGATATTATGCTGGAAAACACATGGAAGTAGTCAGTGCAAATCATCTTCAAAGAAATTTTATTGGACGATGTTAGAAAGAAAACGGCGGCTTCAAATTAAGCAGCTGCAAATAATGAGGATATGAATATATTCCATATATTGAGTATACTGAGTATATTCCAGCTTAAAATATGGATTTCATTGAAATAGTTGAATTGTCTACGATCTAAAATTTCAGTTTGACAGAGAATAATGTGTTATATATTTACATTATGTATACTGTCCATTATATTTGCCTCATGTCTGTATTTTTCTTTTAAGTCCATAATAAAAAGTAAAATAAAATAAAACAATGTAATTGCTTCGAAGTGCGCTTTCTCATCTAGCATTTTCAAAACAAGAGGAGAAAAGTGAAATTTGGAAAGCTTCAAATCTCAGCCTAATACCCTAAAGAAAAATCTATCATTAAAATTTTCAAAAAACTGAATATATATATATAAAGGTCGGATATCCGTATTCAGATTCCACTTTAACACTTGAAAGAGGTTTATAGTTAATATAGGCCTACAAGTTTAAGAATTAATTTGCAGAAATTCAGGATGGAGAACATCAAATCATAAACAGTGATGGATATAAGTGAATGCACCACTTTGCATTTTCTCAAAGAACGGAAGGAAAATTGTAAAATTCATTATTTTTATCAAGCATAAATTATTTACATAATCTTTAGAATGTTATAAAAATAACTATAAAATGTTAAATTAAAATTTAAATTAATGAACTTAGAGAAGTAAATAGAACTTTTCAGCCCATGAAAATGAAGGACGGAAGTGAAAGCACAATATTCAGTTTTATGCAAATTAATTTATATGGCGTCATTCTGTACATACCAATAAAAGTTATTTTAGGTAGATAATAGTTTTATTTACCTGAAGCAGTTATTACTACTTATTTCAACGAAATTTTGAAATGGCTCGTACGCGTGTGAAAACTGTATCTGAACAAAGAAAAATAATCATTTATTTGAATCAGAATAAATTATTGAAGGAAGCTAGTGAAATAGTGAATAGAAGTCGGTAAACAGTAAGAATTGTGATAAAAAATTTCAAATCATCTGGTAGTGTGGTAAATTCACCAAGAAGAAGTGGGCCCCAAAAACGCCGACTCGTAGAAAAGAGAGAAAATGTGCCAAAATGGGTAAAGGCGAATCCAAAAATTTCTTTAAATGCTATAATAACGACATTCAAGGAAGCATTTAACAAAGTAATTCGTTCAAAAAGGATCTTCAGAATTCCTCATTGGACTGGTTACAAATATAAATAGCCAGAAGAAAATCATATATCAGCAAAACTTATCGGGAGAGGGAAGGAATCCGAAAGCTTTTAGAATTTATATTACGCTCAAAGGGCCCCTCCCTTTTTTCCCCCTCCCTCATTTACACACACACGTACACGTTTCGAGAACATTTGGGCTAAATTTCCTTTGGGTCAAAAATATTTAAAAGCAGCCCTTCTTTAGAATTTCCGATAGACACTCTTGTGCGGTGAAGATAAAAATGTTTTTTCCCGTACAGTGTTACAATTGCTCGCTTTGAAATATTGAGTTTGTTAATCAAAAATTTCTTAAAGTTTCACAAAATATGAAATTCACAGTAAAACAAATTCGAAGTTCAAAATTCGGGCTCCCAGGTGTCCATATTCGGGTGGAAGACTACGTTATTCAAAATTTGATGGCTTTGGGTACCGTTGTTTTTTCATAACGCGAAAAACATGCCTACATTCGTGCAAATTCTTCATTATTTTATTTCTTTAAATATAATACAATGTGATAGTGTTTGGTGGAAACAATAAGAAAAGAGATTCAGATTTTTATAAAAATTCAACGGAAAATCCCGTTTTGAAACTATGAGACCAAAATTTTCTTCGCAAGGGAGCCTTTTAATAAAGGTAGCTCATTTTGGTCGAATTTATTGTTTTTGGATGAATGTAAATTCTTAATAATTCATTGCAATGTAAGAAACGTTTTTAACGTTTTGAGTGTTACTTTTATTTATTAAATGTCATGTTCTTCGCACTTAAACCATAAAATTCAATTCAACAGCAATATCGCAAAATAATTTTAATATAATATATAATAAGACTGAAAGAAAGAATATCAGACGATCCATCAAGCCGCAGAAGACTTTCACTGCAAAATTTTGTGAGGTGAAGTTTTATTTGGAAAAGCTAACAATATATTAGAAAAACAAATTTTTAATTAAAAAGTATACAAATTTTCAAGAGAAATTTAAAATATTAAAAGAATAAATGTATTTAGTTGTTATAATATAAACGTCAATATACTTTTGAAGGCATTCGAAAAAACTGCTAAAAAGCTTTATTTCTTTAAACATTGATCCTAGAAATACCTTTGTATTTACATTCTCAAAGCAGAGGATTTTATAAAATTTATTTCAGTACTTCGGCTACTCTGTAAATATAAATCTACATTTTTATAAGATTCTCGCTGAACAGAAATACCAGTTAGTAATTATTTGTTATGTTTTTATAAATTAAAAACAAGAAAATTCTTATTTTTATATGCAAAAAATGCTCTTTATCAATCAGTTCGAGGACGAATTGGCTGACAAAAATCACTCTTCAGTGTTCATTGCTAATTAAAATTCCACATTTACTAACCAAATTTAGGAAAAAACTATAAAAAAAAAAAAAAAAAAAAAAAAAAAAAAATTCTTCGTGTTGGAGAATGATGATTCCGTATCGGTGAATACAACACTTGATTTTAAATTTGTAACTGGTCCCCTAAAAATACTAAATTCATATATCTCCACAAATTTTGCACGTAAGAAGGTAGATCAATTTGATTATTTCTCATTAGAGGATAAAGAATATTTTACTAGCTGGAATATTTGCTGTAAGAGAACCATATAAAATGTCTTATTTTGTATTAACAGAACCTTCTGGCTACAGTATAGAAACTAATTTCATAAATTTCTCTACCGTATTTTGAAGAATTCTTTAACTAGAAGTTGATGTTTAGAATCGTTATTTGAGGAAATTCAGTTTTGAGTTATCTTTACAGTCACCTCGTATAGGGCTGTTTGAAACAGAATGATATTATATACAGAAGAAGGATGCATGGAAGAGAAGAGAAATTTAGAAATAAAAAAAGAAAAATTAGAAATTTAGAAAAGATTTACGGATAATCGGTTTACCATTTTTACAATTCCTAGGGCAATAACGACGATATAAGATTTAACTCATAATCATCTACCTAACTTCATCTAGCCTAACATCTTCATCAACATATCGAGCCAATAACTTTGAGAGCATTAGAAGCATTTTCGAATGACCAAGCAATGATAAAAATGTTTAAAATAACAGGTGTAATTTTCACAAATAGCTAACATTCGTTTAACTAATAACAAAGAATTAACTGCGTGACTGCCCCTATTCAAACAGGACGTGCTTCCTTGATAACATTGTTGCCACAGATGCATGCTGAAGTTAAGAAGTGTATTGTTTTGAAAAGGACTATACTGTTATACTAGCTAGCAATTTTGTTTGTGATTAGCCCCGAATCCGTACAGTGGAATCAGTAATAATCATCAGCATTAGAAACTGTTTATTCTGATTTTCTTCTATATGATATTAATTTTGAATACTTCCATAAGTGTAAAAAAAGATCCCAATTATAGTATTAATTAATAAATTTTTATTTTCTAGTAACACCCTTCGGTACCCTACCTGTTTTAGAAGTTGATGGAAAAATAATTGCACAGCATCAAAGTATTTGCAGATTCATAGCCAGGCAGCATGGTGAGTACGAATTTGGATTTGGAGTAAATAAAAAATATTGCTTTACATTTTGTAAATTAATATATTTAATTTTGAGAAGTCTACAAAGGTTTATTTCCTAGATTTATCCTTCTTTACCTTTTTTGCCTACCATTTAACGAATCACCATCAGACATCTGCAGGATTCAATTCCTGCCATTCAAAATAATAATAATAATAACAATTAATAACTAAATATATAAATAAAAAAGCTGATGTGTACACCACATGGCTTCCTTGTACGGAATATTAAATTATACGCATTTTTCCTGCATTTCATTTAAACTAATTTCCTCGAATTTCATTAGATATATATTTCTCATTCAATTCAGTTCTCACTTCGCGACAAAGCAAAAATACATAAAAACTCAAAATATCTATATTAATAATTGAAAGATGTAGAAAATGCAAAACAATAAAAAATTTTTACAATTAAAATTAGTTTCTACGCAAAAACAAGCAATTCGGTCAGCGGGCAAGAAGGGAGATTTTTCGGTGCACAGAACTGAAAGCTTACTTTTGGTCTCACTCGGCAAAAAGACACTGAAGGTGTAGAAACTGACTTAATTTGTTGTGGACGCTATGCTGAGTCAATATATGGGATAATTTAATAACTTAAATGATAATTCCAGAATGGTTTAAACATGATTTAATTCGCAGTCGTAAAGGAAGACGTTACTTTGTTGTTGCGAAACTTAGTTTCTCTAGATTGGCAGCAAATCCACTATTCTGCTAAGTTTCAAATGCAAGCAAATATGGCTGCTATAGTAAAAAAAATTAGGCTTAGCTGCCCTTAAACAACTTTTAAATTGTTAATAATAAATTGTTAATAAATTGTTAATAATTCTACAATTATAAAATGGAGGTTAACTAAAGGCATAAAAACCTTAATCTAACAACATAATTCAATCATTTTTAAAGCAAAAATTGCACAATTTACCATCATATAAAAATAAGAAAACCTGAGCTCACGGAACCGAGTAACAGAGTGGATATATACAATTATTCCGGGAACATAGAAGAGGAATCAGCTTGCAGTCGTCGTGGCTAAGGGTGAAGGCTTACAGATGAAGATAGCAAAACATGAACTTGACGAATTTCCAGTCTTTATTTCCACGCATATAAAATCATCTCCATAGATGTTTATCCAATTATAATGAAATCCGAGACATTCCTATAATTAAATCATAATGAAATATGATGGATTGCTATGTACAATAGTTCTTAAAATTACGACGCAGGCAGTTTAGACGGGGAAGCAAAGCGAGGAGATATTAGCAAGGTAGAAACCATCAGAAGAAATGACGTAACTTATAAATATATCGCCGAAACACAAAAAGTGTGAGACTGAAGCCTAAAAAGGGCATGACGATAAGTGTTTCCTGACAAAGTGGCATAATTAGCTGCCAGGTGTATTTATACCAAGTCTGATGTACAAATACAGCTGATCTATGATTGGTTAGTTAGTAACGTTACATAACGTAGAAAAATCTAAAATTTGGGAAAACAGATGAATTTAGGAGGTGAGCACCAAATCTAGAATGTTAATTTTGAGATGCCAGTTATTTTTAAAGCAAAACTATCGTATTTTGTTATATCTTACATATTCCCCCTCTTCAAAAGAAAGGTCGGGAGAGCAGGGTGTCAGAAAAAGGATGAGCGAAGCAAGAGAAATTTTAGTTATGTGAGGAAAGACATGAAACAGCATCAAGGACATAGCCTTTAGGTTTGCCTATGCTGCGTCATTATTCGTCACTTTTCTCATACATAGATTATGTAATACTTAAACTAATTTACAATTATTGCAATAACAATATAATTTCTAAATAAACTAACTAATAAATTAAGATAAATATAATTTTAAAAGTCCTTTAGTCCTTTTTGAAAAAATGTCCAATGCCCTTTTGAATGTCGAATGAAACGTTTGTATCTTATTGCCTCTTCTGAGAACTTCTGCACATGAAATTAAAGCGAAAAGTAGAAACTCGTGTTTAAGAATGGTTTAGGAATGCTTTAATGAGCTATAAAAACATCTATTAGAAGAATTATATTTCAAAATATCGAACATTTCCATTTATATTTTTCCAAATGTAAATTACAATTTAAATCTAACTACTTATCTTTACAATAAAAACGCACATTAAAATTCTTTATTTTTGTTTTCTGATTATCATGAGCGAAAAAATAAACATACAGTTAATTTTAATTTTTTAGAAAACTAAGAAAAATTTGAACAATTATTTTTCTAGGAAATATAACTTAGTAATATAAGTTTTAAATATTTTTTGAAATTCCAAGTATACCCAAGTAATAAAGTAACTAAGTTTTAACTAAGTAAAAAGTGCGTATACACCTAGCTGTGTATCCTAACAACAACAACAAAAAAAAAAAAAAAAAAAAAAAAAAAATGTGCTTGTTTCGAATGCAGTATTCTGAAAATTGTTTGTGTGAACTTTGCAAAGTCAAGATAGCGAACTCCACGTTTTAGTTCGTCTGTTTCTCGGAATGCGTTTTCGGGCGGCTAAACAATGTCGTCATTCTAAAAAGCCCCTAGGGTGAAAGAGGCAAACGAAAAGTATCTTCACATCAGATTTAAAGATGAGGGGAAGTGAAAATAAAAGAAGCAAACAAAAGTTCTAACTTTTTGAAAAATTCATCTAAGTGGAACAAGGTCAGTAAACTCTTGGGGATAATGATAGAGCGTTTCTAAAATAAGCATTTTAGTCTGAAAAACTACCAAATTTATTTACAAATTACTGAAAATCGGAAAATTTGACCTGAAGATTGATAAGACGTTTATGGTATAAGAAAATTATCTTGCTCAAAACAAGTTCCATCTCCAAAAGTTACCGTCGTGGTAAAAATAAGTTGCAGACTTAGAATCGCTGAAGCAAACGAAAAAATGGATAAAGATCATAATTTGTTATACCTAGATGGCAACTGCATGTAAAGCATATAATGTACCTTTTTTTTTTTTTTTCTGTATTTGAAGTGAACAAATCTTGAAAGTCTGTTGTGAATTTCAATTCTTCCACCGCAACTCTTTCTATGTTAGATATGTGTCTATAGCTTAAGTCTTTGATTTTTCGTTCGCTATTACTCTACATTATATTACGATATCAGAGGTTTTACTTTGCACACACTGCCTGCTAATTACTAGTTCTAAGAAGGGTTTTCGCCATTCGATGTTCCATAAGGTATTTAATTTATTTTTGAAATTAATATAATATATTTCTTAACAAACAGACCGATTTGAAAGAAATATACGTACTTCTTAATTTATTTCTTAATTTTAATTTTAATAACATCTCTGATTGATATTATTCGGAATATATAACTCATGTGATTTATGATGTAATATCCAACTTACAATTTGATAAACATCTGCCCTGTTATTAGAATTTATGAAAGGTGCTTTTTATGCCAGGCATTAATACACAATGTAGTTCGTGTAGAAAATCATCCCCCATGAATGAGAGCTCTTCTTAAGTCTGATGTGCCATGACTGATAAAGGATAATAAAAAAAAGTGTGTAAGTTTCATTAAATAAAAATTGAATTGTATTTAAGTATTTAATTGAAAACTTTCAGTTTATGTGAAAATTCCTTTGTTTCAGTTCTGTTTTTCCGTTAATAAAATCCCGTTATGTATAGTTGTTAAAAAATGATTAATGAAAAATTGTAAACGGTTATTAGTAACACTTCAACGAATGCTGTGAACTTAGTTTCACTTTACGACATCTATCACACATATTGTTTTTACATATTATCTGTAATAACCGATAACATTTAACCCATTAAAAAACCAGACCCCGATTTTGTATATAAAATAAACTAAATTCGTGAGCCAATGCCTGCTTTATATCATGCACTGGATTATGATGTCTGTAGCCTAAAACATGTATTTCCGTCAAGGAATTCAGATAAATCTTTCAGTACAGTTTTCATCTCTTCTGAACAACAAAATGCTTTGCTGAAAACTTACTTTCATTTTCATTTTAAGTTATAACGATATTCAGGGGTTTAACTTCTTATTCTTGACCTTTTCCCAGAACAGTTCAGTTCCATCAACATCACAGTGAGTTTACACTTAAAACTTGAAACGTTTACAGCATAACTTTAGAATTTCCGATACACAGTCTTGTACGCTGGAGATAATTCCCCCCCCCCCGTATAGTGCTGCTCGCTTTGAAATCGTTGAGTTTGTCAATCAAAAATTCGTTAAAGTTTTACAAGATATGAAATAGATAATAAAACAAATTCCAAATTTGGGCTTCTAGATGTCTATATTTGGGTGGAAACGTACGTTATTCAAAATTTGATGGCTCTAGGTACCGTCGTTTTATCACAATGCGAGAAACATACATACATTTATGCAGACTCTTCATTATTTAATTTCTTTAAATATAACACAGGGCGATAATATTTGGTGGTAAGAACTTCAAAAGTGAAACAGAGATTTAAAATTTTCAACGCAAAATGCCAAAATGAAATTAATAGCCCTTCCGGGCTAACTCCCTTTGTGATAATGAATACGAATAACTATCAACAATTAATTAATATTTATAAATTAAATTATAATTTAAATAAATATACAAAATTGTAAAACAAAACAAAAATGTTCCAATATCTTTTTTAATCATCAACAAAAATTATTTCACGACTCAGTACTCGGTGGCAAGCCATGTTTTGAGGACTCTAGTATTTTCAGGGTTTGAAATCTGCGTTTTCAGAAAGCTGGGCTGGGTATTTTTGTCAAAGAACCTAAATGTAAGGAAAATGTTGGGACCAGACACAACCAGTAGAAAAGCATAATACTTTTTCACGTGAAAGGGAAAGATGTTAATAACAACAATAAGGAACATAAAATATAAATAAAGGGGAATATTTTAATAACAAAAATAAGAAAAATAAATACATAAACTTTGCTATACTTTGCCTTTCTATACAAAATATTGAACAAAAATTAAACAGCTTACAGTA